AAAACATATATTAATTTCAGAGTTAATTCCAGCAAAGGTCCTCTGACTATAGCAATTTTCCACATTTGGTCATTGTCTTTTAATTTGGATGAATTAAACCCTTGACTATCAAAATCTTTCCACCATTAGTCCTTCCGTCACCTCACTGTTATGTTGACGTTAAGTTAAGGGGTACATTTGTCTTATCACAGTCTATTTGTCTTTCTCTTTGCTTTATTAGACCACCAAACAACACACCTCTCATTCTTCATTAATCCAGTATTCTATACAGAGGAACCCAATAACAGAGAGAGCCCAGATCAATTATATTCCAACTCATTATTAGTGGCCCTTTTGGATTCTCACTACACGGATCTATTTGAGCTTGAATGCAGATGGTTAAAGAGGTTGTTTCTCGCCATAATATCACCATTTTTGCGCCTAGGAATGAGGCTTTAGAGCGAGATTTGAACTTGGAGTTTAAGTGATTCATACTTGAGCCCGGTGCTGATGGTGGTATGCAACAACGTCATCCTCAACCTGGTCGATTGCCTGACCTTCGTCACCAACGGCAGCACCGAGGCGAAGACGCAGTGGAGTTGCTGCTCTGGCCTCAAAATGGTGCTGAAAACCAACGCAGTGTGCCTGTGCGATGGGTTTAAGAACAGTGCCCAGCTCGGCGTCGTCCTCAATGTCACCAAATCCCTCTCTCTCTCTCCTCCGCTCCCTCCGTTAGCAACTGCGGCTTGAACATCGACAGCATTTCTTCTTCGCCATTACCGCCACCTCCAAGCTCAATTGCAGTCGCACCTATAGGATGTAATCAGGTAGCGCCAGGGCCAGCTTAGGGAGAGCCACCGTCTTCTGCAATGGCACCGGCGGGATCCATTGCCGCCACCCTGACCGTGGCAGCCGCAACAGCATTACTGGTGGTGTTTTGAGACAGGGTTGGAGAATTGTATTTGTGATGTTTGATCATATAGTAGTATAGTGGTATATTTAGTAGGTGGTGTTTGTCTGCAAGTAACTGGAATTATTGTCGTGAGGGAGAAAAAATGGTATTGGTGCTTGCAGGTTTTGAATTTGAATGATTATAGATGGGGAGTAATCGGAGTATTATTATTGAAGAGGGGAAGGATTTGAGGAAGATGACACTCAATATATGAAAGGACTGTTTTACCCCTTAACTTAACATCAAAATAACAGTGAGGTGACGGAAGGACCAACGGTGGAAAGATTATGATAGTCAAGGGTTTAATTCGTCCAATTTAAAAGACGAGGACTAAATGTGGAAAATCACTATAGTCAGAGGACCTTTGCTGGAATTAACTCATTAATTTCATTATTATTATTATTATTATATTATATTATATTATTATATAATATTTAGTTAACAAGGGCAAAATTGGAATAATTCAAGGTAATATAAGATTACCTAAAAAAATGGGGGTAATCACATTACCTTGAAACATTACTGCCACATCAGCTTTCAAGTAATATAACATTACCAGGTAATCTTATAACTTGAACCAAACAAGGTAATATAACATTACCAGACTCAGACTACCTAGGTAATCTAAGATGACCTGAACCAAATGTCCAAATGTCCCCTTAGGTCATTTTACATGTTAATTTAAACAGCTAATTTTTTTAAATATCTTTTTACCAACCATTGATATAATTCGCTGGTCAAATTCGCTAATATAATCCGTTAACGCTAACCGCGAACTGCTGATTGTCAAACAAGGACATTGCGAGGTAGTTCTCACTTCAATTTGTTGTGTGATTTGAATACTCTCTTTGTCAACAAATCCCTCAAGTAGTTAATATGATTGGCTTAATTATATATTTTTTTTAATTTTTTCATCGTATTAATAAAATACTTGGTAAATAAATATATAGCACTATTTTGTATTATAACTTTGATATTTAATTAAAAAATAGTGCACAAAAAAGATAATAGACAATGTAGTGAATATAATCAATTGATGAATTTGTACATTGGAGAAATATAAAGACAATATAACTAAAAAAATTATTTCTCTTAACTAATTTATTGACAATGAATATTTTTTTTTAATAAAGACATTGTAGGGACAATGTAGCGAATATAATCAATTGATGAATTTGAATGTAAAGAATATTTATATTGGAGAAAAATAAATACAATATAACTAATGGAATTATTTCTCTTATTTAATTTATTGATAATGAATATTTTTTTTTTGAATAAAGACATTGTAGACACATAATTCTAAATTAAAAAAATGCATATGTATTATTTTTTGTTGTAGCTACTAAATTATTATTTAATTTAATAAGAGTAAAATAGAGTACTAATTATGTCAACTTTGATTGGGATGTGGTTCGAACCTAAGACCTTTCTTATTGAAATCAATGAGTAAGTTAACTGTGAACTAACAAAAATTAACGGAAAAGATAATATTTAACGGAAAAGTTAACGGAAAATCATATTCATTAAGGATAAATTAGGAAATCATAAGGAAAAATTAAAATCTGATCAATCTGAGCCATTTATTTGATTAAAAAATTTGACCGCCATTTTTTCTACCCATTATAGGCCTAACTCTCTTGGGCTCTTATTAGTATAGTAGATAGATAGATAGATATATTGAATTGTACAAAAATATATATTAGTCTATAAAAAATTTAGTATTCAAAATTTCACTTGAAAAGTGACATTCTTCTTCTTCTTCGGTCATATTTAGATGTAAAATTATTCACCAATCTATTGAGTCTTTTTTACAATATCGTTGATCATAAGTAAGATTTCAACAACTTTAGCTTTAAAAAACTTCTTTATGCATAAACAACAGTAATGAAAATAGTCCAGACTAATTGATATTGCAATTGTAGTATCAAAATACAAGAAATTAGATTGTTATTCACTAATCAAAAAAATTCCTAGCCAGGGTTACTCATTGAATTAATAATTTTAAAATTTTGAATAAAATTAAAGAATTAAAATATTTAATTATTTACATGCCTTCATCCTTTTATCGTGAAGAATAAAAAAATTGAGGATGTCAAATGCACAAACAACGCACTTCAAATTAATTATTACTGAGTCCGAATTCTTGCGTTGTGAATACAAATCTTGCGTGTATGCATTATAATAGGAACAATCGTAATTTTTACTCTTTATGTATAATAATTTTTACAATAATCAAAATATCAAATAGGCCCGCCTCAATTCCTATAAGTTATAGGACTATAATTCTATACGTAAATTTAGTCCTTAAGAATTAAGAATATAAACTTTTTAGAATTTTAGACCGTCTTGATTTATTTATACATAAATTACACATACACTAATATATAAAATATAAATATAAAAAAATAATTTTTTTTAATAAAAGTGCCCCCAAAATTTGGGGACACAATGCACATATATACTTACGTATGTAATGTAATATTTGGGGCCCCCAAATGTATGCTGGCTCTGGCCAAACATGGCCAGGGACGGCCCTGGATTTACATCGTCCTACATGCTCTGTTGGGTCGGAGGGTTGGGGATTCAGCCTTTTGGGGTAAGGATTGGGTGAGTCAGACCGGATTTTGGACTGTGCAAAGGTTGGAGTGTGGGGGGCCCTTAGGGTTGAGGATTCAGCCTTTTGGGATAAGGATTGGGTGAGTCAGATCAGATTTTGGGCTATGCAAGCTGGGCTACCGTACAGGGCTCCAAATTTTATAGGCCCAATATTTCATTTTTACCTAGCTGGTTTATAAATAAAAACTAAAAGTTTTCAATTAAATTTAAAAGGTTCAATGAAGAAATGGTTAGAACATGTGTTTATTGTATCTCTATTTCTATGTCAATTTAGAGGTCCAAGGTTTAAAACTTGCAAGTTGTGCTAGCTTTGGATATTTTCTTATTTTGTTAATCCTTTTGCATTGTGAGTTTACGCACACTATTATTGTTATAATTGTAATTTATTCGATAATAATAATAATAATAATAATAATAATAATAATAATATTATTATTATTATTATTATTATTATTATTATTATTATTATTATTATTGTTATAATTGTAATTTATTCCATAATATGTCTTTTGACTTTTTCTTTGCGCACAGTAACATTTTATCACCTTATTATTATTATTATTCTTCCAAAAGGCTGAACCCCAACCCTAATGGCCCCCCACACCCCGACCCGACAGAGCATTTGGGAGGATGTAAATCATGGTAACTCAACTGAACATGAACCACAGAGGCTAGACCGTGCTCACTGCGCACAAGGAACCCCCCTCACTTTGAGAGGTTAATATTATTATTATTATTGGAACAAATTACGATATTAGTTTTAAAGATTGTAATTTTGATAGGGCCTCATTTATTTATTCGAATAGGGCCACACAAATCTAAAAATCGGCCTTGCGGTGAGTGATGCTTTTAGAAAAGAAATTAAAAGAAAAAAAAAGAGCAATGCACTTGATGAATATTAAAAGGTAAACTTTAAAATGAGAATCTAGCTAACATTTTTCTTTATAGAAAGAAATACTAACGTCCTTAGATGTTACTTGCTTAGATGTTAGTGTAGGGCAAGTGTTGCTTCTACATAATAAAAATATTTTTTACAGAAAAAAAAAAAAATTGAAACTAGGTTTGAACAATTAAATTAAATTCAAAGTTTATTAGATGAAAGAATAAAAGTGGATGAGCGGAGCCTATGGGCTAATTCACAATCCAGGAGTGGAGACCGGAGATAAAACAACAAATTAAAAGCAGAAGCTAACAGATTCAAGATATAATTAATAACCGTTTTGATCCCTCAATTACATTGTAATTATTAAATTAATCATTAATTATCAATTTTAATTAATTAAATCTTTAATTATTAATTTCGTAATCGATTTGGTCTTCCGTCAAACAGACCAAAGATCAATTTAGTAATTACGAAATCAATAATTAAGAATTTAATAAATTAAAATTAAGAATCAATAACAAATTTGATAATTTCGACATCGTCAATGGTCCAAAATAATTATTAAAAGATATATGGAAATTAAGGATGGGAGGGAGCAGTAGTAAATATTAATTTGTTCGTCATGCTGCAAAAGCTAAAGACAAGCGGGCGGAATGAGAGGTTGCCAGCGGCGGCTTATTCGGCTTGGGTGGCCTACCGGTACCACTCACATGTGAAGCTGTCAAAATTAATGCCCCCGGCGGTGGTTCCGTTTGTGGTCCTATTAAATCTGGCGCCGCAGCCACCGCCACTTTTACTGGCTGCGGCTGCGGCCCCACGCTCACCGCCTTCTCGTGCCGACAACTCAGCAACCCATTCCCCTTGCTGCCCTTTCCCTCTCTCCCGTACTCCCACGACCAGTGTCTGCTACCGCCGCCGCCGTGGTCTTCCATGGAGAAGTTGGTCACCCCTTCCGCTGTGGTCACGCTCCAGTCGATGCTTACTTCGCTCGGCGCGTAGTTCTCCGTCGCCGCCACGCTTGGTGTGGCCGGCTCGTCCAGGCTTCTTCTCCCGCCGTAGGGATTGCTGGGCGCCAACCGACGGGCAGAAACGAATGTCCCCTCGTCGTCCAGCGAGTCCCGCCGCCGGTAGCTGGTTGTCTGAGTTGAGAAGCTCTCGATCTCGAACAAATCGGAGCTCGCGTCGCTCCCCACGTCGTCGTCCCGAGAAATTGGGCTTCCCGGAAACCCGAAATTCCCTGCCCGCCGATCTCTGTTGTCCACTACGCCGCCGCCACGGGGCTTGGGTGATAACTGAATTTCTGCATCCAGTGATTTTCTTGAAGTCGGTGGCTGGAAAATTTCCAATGAATTCTTTGGAGGCTGAATTTGATCTTCAATATCACTTGTTCTGATCGTCATCTTAGCGACGGCCGCCGCTGCCTGAGAAGAAGGATTTAAAATTGGAAAAGAAAATCCCCCGGTGGAGGCTAAAGGACTCTGACTCTCGCCCCGACGCAATCCTGGAGACAATAATACCCCATGCCCTGTTTCAGGAGGACTAACCTCAACTTTCAAACCCAAATTTTGATTTCTCTCCTCCAATACAATCTTCTGTTGATCATTGTGGCCGTTCCTTATAGCTTCATCGACTTGGACGGATTTCTTGCCGGAGCAGGGACACTTTGACCTGCAAAAAAACCATTTCGCCGCCGCAGAGCCTCTTCTCTTCTCCAGATCGCCTTCGGAAACATTATTATTCTTTAAAGAAACCGCAATTGCGCCGGGAGGATTGGACAGCAGCCCCGTTTGACTATTCCAGCTAGCCTCAGATGAAGCCGTAGGAGTAGCATGGAAAGAACTAGCCTTTACATTCCGACCAAAGCCGGCGGCGTCCACCGACGAAACAGAGGAAAACCGATTGATTTCCGACAGATCACAGCTCCCATTCTGGTTACGAATCGCAGGGAATAACGACCTATTGCCTAATTCTTTCCAGTCAGTGCTTTCACTGAAGTATTTCTTGGCGTCAAACACATTGATCTCTGATTCGTCTTCCCCCGCCTGTTTGAGATAAGAAGAGAAGGATACATCTCTGAGCCTCAACTGGTCATTGCTCTTCTTGGAACAAGTGTAGTGAAGGGAATTCATTATGATTCTGGAAAGAGAATCTATAAGACTGGTTTTTGGTCTTTTCTTTTCTCTTTTTCTTTTTGGTGGGTTGAGGTTTCAGAGATTTTAAAGAAACCTTTTATTTTTTTGGTGTCAGAAGGCAACAGTTGGGTGTATGTGAAAACTGAGATTGTATACCAGAAATGTTACATTTGAGGTCTGCAACAATTCTAGGTTCGGTTTATACTATGTAACAATGGGGGTCCCAAAAACAGTAGAGATACTGTACTCTCAGAATGATTGCTGTGCTGGTGCATGAATTTATTTAAAACCAGTGTGCATTCCTGCAGTTACAATTCTGATTTGGAAGCTAAGACTGGAACCCACCCAGAGAAGAAGGTTTAATTTGGAGGTTAAGAATGGGAATCACAATCATGTTTGCTAGTTTTTACTTGCTTGGATGGTATTGAAAATGGGTTTTTTTTTTTTTTTTTTTTTTTTTTAAGAAAAAAAAAAAAAGAAATAGAATTATAATTATGGTATTATATATATGAAGGATCTTGTTGTTCATTGGTATCAAGTTGTTCCCTTATGTTCCCTTATGTGAGGGTAATGGGTTCGGGCCTTGGTTGAGGTGACATTTGATGTAGTAGCTTGTATATGTGGGTAAAAAAAATGATATTATAGAATTTTATGAGAAAATGGCGAGTGAGTTTGGTCCCTGAGAATGGTAGTGACGACTATCACTGAGTTCTGACCGTATTCATTTTTAGTCCCTGAGTTATGGGCGAAGTGGCGCATTTAGTCTCCGAGGGACCAAATGCGCCACTTCGCCCATAACTCAAGGACTAAAAATGGATACGGTCAGAACTCAGTGACTGAGTCGAAACTTGGGTATAACTCAGGGACCCAAGATGTAATTTTTCCTAATTTTATTGAAAAATAGAATTACAATATTGTTCTTCTTTGGGAAGATCTTTAGTCATTTTCTAAAATAAAAGCCCAATTTAAGGGATTGCAAATATTTGGATAAAACAGCATCCACAATATTAACAAAGAGAAGTTGATTTAGACTTTTTGGAGGACTCTCCAGAACATGCAAACTTAAATGAGAGCAAACGTGGTGTGTTGCCATTGGCACAAGTATGTCTTCTCTTTAGTTTCTCCAACTTTAAGTTTAGTGCTGATTTTAATTTAATTATTATTGTTAAATTTCAATATCATTCCTATTTATATCTTAAATCAAAATTCGGATAAAATGTTATTTTCGAAAATCCTTTTTAATAAGACATTCATTTATTTTAGATACTTATTTTGATTCTGACATTGATTCTTGCATTTCAACAAAATGCCATCAATTTCTTTCGGTTATTACATGGGTTAGTAGGTTACATCATAAATTCTGGCATTTATTGGTTATATATATATATATATATATATATATATATATATATATATATATATATAGGGTTGAGTTCAAATGAGGACAACAATATATAGAGGATTGTGAGGACAAATAATGGGCATACAACAAATTACTATCAGGCACACAATTTAATACACAATGGCACACAAGAATACATGTAAGCATCAGGTTTCGAACCCATGCCCTATTAATCAACAAATGCATGCACGCGACATACAAACTGTGGCACACAACTACATTCGGCCATGCACACAACATACAGGCTAATGGCACACACTACATCTGTCATCACAGTCCTCTATAATATACTTGTCCTCATTTGAACGCAAGTCTATATATATATATATATATATATATATATATATATATATATATATATATATATATATATATATATATATATATATATATATTGTTTAAGATGAGACATTGTAGAATTTAGTTTGAATTTTTAAAAAACAAAACAATTGATCTTTTCCTCAAAGTTATCGACTTCGAACATTCATACCTAACCTAGCATTATTCAATTGGCTTTTCCTAACATTTTTCACTTGATATGCATGAAACTTGCATGGTGGATACTTCTGCGTTTTATATGCATTTCCTCCAAAAAAAAAAAAAAAAAAAAATCTATAAAATATTCACCTCAAGTTGTTTCTGTGATGGGGATATTGGGTGTGGGCTAAGAAGTTAGTGGGCTTTGATTGGGCCGGAACGAAAGGAGGTATGGCCGTAATTCAAAATTCGATTAAAGGATTAATTAAGTAATTAATCCTAATTCAAATGGTAATTTAATTCCTTAAATTCTTGAAAATACAATAGTCGAGGACTAGTAATTGACTAGTCAACCCAAAGTCAATGTTGTACCTTAAGCTTTGTGAGGAGTTCCTTTGTTCCCTTACACCTCTTCATTTTAGTAAGGGTATTCATGACATTTCACCTTGTGTTAGTAATGCAAACTAACCTAGTAGACACTCCTCATTCTTTCTCCTTACACTTTCTAAACTTTAGCTCTACCTTCTCTCTAAAAGTTAGATAGCTTTTCTTCCAAGACAAGTTGAAGCTTTGTCAAATCTTCAAGGGTTGTCTCCAAGATTCTACCTTTCATACCTATGAGCATCTAGGAGGGTAAGATCTATGTTCATCTTGTGTTTTTAGTGTTTTCTAAGGTGTCTTTTCTTAAAGATAGAATCTTTATGATCTTTTGGTGTGTTCTTGAAGTGGGTTTGGAAGGTGAGCCTTAGTAGGAGCTTGGTGAAGTGTTAAGTGAATGTTTTTGTCTACAAGAGGTAACCCATGCTCTACAAAATCTATTTTGCTTACATATATGATGATTTCTTGGATTCTACATGTGATTTTGCTATGAAATGTGAGTGTTTATGCATTGTCTTGTGAAAATGCATATCTAGAGCTTGTTATTAGGGTTCATGTATGCCATTGTTTGGCTATTCCTTTGATTCAAGTCATTTTGTTGTATTTGGTGAGATTTGGCATGTTTTGGACTTGAATTTGAGCTTGGAGTTGAAAATCCCTGAAGGGATATTTTTGGTACAAGGCATGTACCCGCGGGTGGAACGGCGGGTAGGGGTCCACCCGCCGCCCCACCCGCGGGGTACATGTGTGTTGTGGGATGGTTCCCGCGGGCGGAACCACGAGTGGGGGTCCACCCGTGGCCCCACCCGCGGGTATACAAATGTTGGATGGTGGGGATTTGTTCCCCGTGATTCTTTTGACTCGGTATTTGGTCTTTTGACTTCTCGATGTTCTTTTGTGGAGCTATTTGAGCGTCTTCTTCATGTTTCGTATGTCTAGAACTATATGGTAGGAATCCATGTAGGTTTTGGTGTCTTGAATCATTCTAAGTGTTCAACATTGTGATTCGTTGAATCGTGATGAGTCTTGTGTGTTCTTCGGAACTACGTTTGGTTTACCCATTTGATAAACATGCTAGTTCGGTGTTTAAATGCTAGCGTGTGTGTTGTTTGTACCTTCCTATTGTTGATGATGACATGTGTTATTCATCGTTGTTGTTGGACTGTGATCCATTCCTTGATTGAGTATGGTTTCATATCTTCGTTGTAATCCGTTGATTGATTCCTGTTGAGGTGTGGTGTGTGTGGCTGTACCTGGATTGCACGATTAGTGGTATGGGACACTAGTCACCAAGGTATGACAGTGGTCATCGTGGTGGTCATGATGTGATTATGGAGTTTGTGACCTGTGTGTCGGGTTCACGTATTTCTTGGGAGGCATGTGTTGCCAAGGCATGTGTTGCCATGTGTGTGATCGGTACCCTCATGTACTATGAAATTGGTGGTTTTGTTGGCGGTCATTGGCGGATGGGGACGATGGTCCTCGGAGGGAAAAAGTTGGACTTGGTGTACAGGGGTCCTGGAGGCAATGGTTGGAACTAGACATAAGGTTGGGGTAGCCATAAGGTTGGAACCGGGCATAAGGAAGGCATATCAATTCGTGATGGGTGATGTCACGAAGGCTTGTGTAGCCGTTGTGTGAGTTCTCTTCTTGTGACGTGTGTAGTCACAAAGGCATGTGTTGCCATTGGTTGTGTCCTTATTCTCTTGAGTTATGCATGTCGGGTGTTAATCTACTGTGTGATGGTAGATTATGCCTTGAGTCGTTCTTGTGAGTCGTTATTACATCTTGTGTCTTGGGATGTGTTCCCGTATTGTTGATTGTGAGTGCCTAGAGTCTTATGTTGACTTCTGCTCTTGGTTTTGAACTTATATATACATATTCCGTTTCGCAAATGATTTTGTATATATATCTTATCTATGTATGATATTTCACATGTATTGGTGGGTTACCAGCATTATTCTCTGACCGGGAGTCGTCCCATCTTTTATGTGTTTCTTTCAGGTGATGTATAGACGTGAGCTCGGTCTAGAACCTGCTAGTGTAGCTCCTATGTTTTGTTGTTATGGACTGTGTGCCAAGGATAGACTTTAGTACTTTGGACATGTATGGATTTTAGATTGTGGTTTATGCAGATGTTAGCCTGTGTGTTCACCTCTGGGTGAGCGTGGCATAGCACCCTTTTCGTTTCCAGTTTATATAATCCTTTTCAGTCTTACGCTGTGTTTGATGTTTTGTTTAGATATCTGCATGTTTAAGGCTTTAATTACCATGGAAATTAGGGCGGTGTTACAGTTGGTATCAGAGCCTAGGTGGGTAAAGTCTAGACTTCTAAGTGGCTAAGTATGGTTTGAGACCTTAAAGTGACCTTAAGAATCTAAGTGTTAGTCTTAGGACTCTAGGTTGCGCGATGAGCTAAGTGTTGTTTATAGTTATTTGCTTGTTTGTTGTCTTTTTGGTAACCGTGTTGTTGGTGTAGAAGCTTGCAATGCCTCCTCGTCCACGGGGGCGTACCCCGGAGACCCCGACGAATGAGCAGCTTGCTCAGAACCTTCAGCAGTTGACACAGACAATGCAGACTCTTAGTGAGGCGTTGCTGAACAACCACCATCCCGTGCCACCTCCTCAACCTGCTGGGCACAGGGACATGGGTCGTTTGGTGTCGGGTCACAGACCGCCGACCTTCGCGGGTGAAGAAGATCCGGTTGTTTTGGAGGAGTGGATAAGGGTGTTCGATAAGATCTTCTCGGTGGTGGGTTGTCCTGAGGAGAGAAGGGTAGAACTGGCAACGTTCTACTTCTGTCATGAGGCTGATCTGTGGTGGATTCATGAAGGTCCGGCCTACCTTGAAGAGCCTGAGTTCGATTGGTCTGCGCTTAAGGATAGGATGCGCGAGAGGTTTTACCCGGCAC